AAAAATATTAAAAATTAATTTTAGACAAATTTCTTTACACATTATTCTTTCACAATGCAGTCATTTTGACTGCTTTGGGCAATATAGGTATATACTAAGTTTCAGTCTTTCTAGTGTTAAATAAATATAGACTGCCTTATATATTTTATTAATTAATTTCCGTCGGTCTTAAATGAAACTTTATAAACCAACTATCGAAACTTTCCAATCGAACGAGCCGACCCAGTTTTCTCGTTATCACGGCTGGATCCTCGTTATCGTTTCGCGTTAAAGTGATCGGGAAACTGTACTTGGATGAAAGGGACGTAGTTCAAAGACGGGAGTCTTCGAAAATGCGGTAATATCGAAGCACTCGGGCCGCCGCGTTTGAAGCGCACCCCGCGCGGCGAGGGTGGGTGATGGAAGTTGGCGATATCAAAGCGGACCGAATTACGTGCCAGATTGCATTACTCCACGCGTGCTCGCGTGTGATCGTCGCCCTCATTATTACCCAATCTTTTCCTATGCTAACCATGACAAGTACATTTTTTTAATATTAATTAAGGGACGAAGTCGTTTAAGAAAACGAGGGAGCCACTTGTTCTGAGATCCCCTTGAAATTTTTTTTTACGTCCAACCTTCGTTAAATCGATATCCGCTCGAAAGTGTAATAGCAATTATGTCAAGGTACAATAGAATTTAACTTGGGAATCGTCTGGAACGAACGACCCAGCTTTCCTTCTCCCATAAAACGAATTACGATTTCGATTAAATAATCGTACGACTGGTTGGTTGAACTGAACTTTCGATGTGACGGTTAGTTACGCCCGTCTAATTATTCGTCGTTTCACGTAACCGCCGCACTTCCGTTATCGCTAATTCGGCGCCGCTAGACGCTCCCTCTACCGACCGATCATCAACGTTTCCATCGTAATTTAATAATAAAACCACTCCGACGAGATAGAGTTGCTCACTTGAGCACATCTCCATCGTTTCCATTTCGCAATCATTTTTTTCTCTGCGTCAGATGACTCGTTCGGACGTCATCGATCGACTAACAATATCTGCGCCGCGTGGGTACGGGTGATGAAATTGTCACTTGCATAAGAACGGCCAGGACAGAATTAACTTATTCATTTTATATTCGATGCATTTTAATTTAAATCGATACGACCTGGTCCAGAAAAAATTCTAATAAAAACGTAAGAGGGATTAGAAGAGACGGGGGTGGGGGAATTGTAACAAAGTTGGCAACGCGCAGAGTGCTACTCCTGATGGAAAGCGGCGACGGGGTGGAAACGCGTTCCTATAATTGGCCGGGCAATCGGATTTTCACTTCGCTCGTAGATTACAATTAATGAAATCGTCGAGCGTAGAGCAGCACGTCGAACGGCTACGTTGACGTCAATCGCAGGCACTTGCTATCAAGGACGCCAGGCCCTGCTCCCGATTACTCTTAGTCAGTTCCGTCATCTTCATTCCCCACCCTTTTCTTCGTCAATCTCTTTCCACGTGTCTGCGAAACGAATCGCATCGTCAACAGGTTGCTTCCCTTCGCTGAACCGACGAAACCGAGAATAACTTATTCTCCTTGATAAAATTATTTTACACACTTCATTTATAGGCAAATACATCCATAAAGTTTAAAAATGTTCCATGGAATACTTTTCTTAAAAAAAATTCCCAAAAATGACTTCAATTTTGGGCGCTCACACTGGTAAGGCCCATTAAGTAATCCTTCTTTGAGATTCTTCTACTGATCTCAACGGATTTCTGACCAGTTTTTATAAAATATACCTAAAACGTTCCATTAGGGGTATTAACGAACTATAGCAAGGACATAGTACGTGAATTTTTTAGGTATACTTTCATATATTTAACCATAACCATCAATTATCGTCCTTAATCTGACGCTGTGGTTTTCTAAAGATAGCACGATTCCATTTGGAGTTGAATGTCCGAACCGAGAATGCTTTCCTGGTTCTATTTTCTCTTCTTGACAAAGTCCTTTCTTTATCATCTCTATAATCCTTAAGTAATCCTTCTTTGAGATTCTTCTACTGATCTCAACGGATTTCTGACCAGTTTTTATAAAATATACCTAAAACGTTCCATTAGGGGTATTAACGAACTATAGCAAGGACATAGTACGTGAATTTTTTAGGTATACTTTCATATATTTAACCATAACCATCAATTATCGTCCTTAATCTGACGCTGTGGTTTTCTAAAGATAGCACGATTCCATTTGGAGTTGAATGTCCGAACCGAGAATGCTTTCCTGGTTCTATTTTCTCTTCTTGACAAAGTCCTTTCTTTATCATCTCTATAATCCTTAAGTAATCCTACTTTGAGATTCTTCTACTGACCTCAAAGGATTTCAGACCAGTTTTTATAAAATATACCTAAAACGTACCATTTGGTATTAACGAACTATACCAAAAACATAATATGTCTACTTTTTAGGTGTACTTCATATACATAATCTAATTATGAATCTTTATCGTCCTTAATCTGTGGATTTCAAAAGATAGCACGATTCCATTTGGTTAAGTAATCCTACTTTGAGATTCTTCTACTGACCTCAAAGGATTTCAGACCAGTTTTTATAAAATATACCTAAAACGTAGCATTTGGGCTATTAACGAACTATACCAAAGACAGTACGTGAATTTTTTAGGTATACTTCCTATACATAACTTAACCATCAAGTATCGTCTTTAATCTGATGCTGTAGTTTTCAGAAGATAGCACGATTCCATTTGGAGTTATCTAAACTTCTGTCTATTAGAAAAAAATGCCAATTTGTTGTCACAAATCTCCATTTTACCAAAACGATCGTCAATAACCGCCTCTGATGGTACTTTCGATTTAATACAACCCTTGAACTTTTATTTTCAGGAAAATCCATATGGCAGCTCGTCCTGGAGCAATTCGACGACCTTCTAGTTAAGATTCTTCTATTAGCTGCTATTATTTCTTTTGTACGTATAAAAATTATTTTTTTATTCATAGTTAAGGGTCTATTAAGTAAAAAAAATAATTTCGGTTTGCCAGTTTGTTAAGAAATTCGCGCCTCCTAATTCGGTTCATCGTACGAAAAGTTTTTTTTTTTACCAACGGGAAATGATCGTATGCTGCTAACTATTATTTATTTTTAGCCGTGACGCGAAACGGTAGTAATTAATAAAATCAAAGCCGCGTATTACGGTAGCCCGCGAGCAACTAATTATTAGTGAGCATCCGAGTCATACGTACTATGTTTACGAGGAGGTTCAAGGCTCACTTATTATAAATACATCTGGTTTCAAAGGTGAAAAAAATAGACCATCGATCGGCGCGCCGTCTCTAACATCGAGAAGTATAGTAAACGCGTTATCCTTTCGCACGTGTGAGAAATTCCCGATGGATGCTGTGCTTATAAAAATTAGTTCGTTAACCGGTAATCGACACTGTTTTTTGTTTCTCTTCAGGTATTAGCTTTATTTGAAGAGCACGAGGATGCGTTCACGGCCTTCGTCGAGCCCTTCGTCATTTTGCTCATCCTCATCGCTAACGCCGTGGTCGGCGTATGGCAGGAACGTAACGCCGAGTCAGCGATCGAAGCGTTGAAAGAGTACGAGCCCGAGATGGGCAAAGTGTTACGGATGGACAAGTCCGGCGTGCAGAGAATCCGCGCCAAGGAGATCGTCCCCGGCGACATCGTAGAGGTGTCCGTGGGTGACAAGATCCCGGCTGATATCCGTCTGTCCAAGATCTTCTCGACCACCCTCAGGATCGATCAGTCTATCCTGACCGGTGAATCGGTGTCCGTGATCAAGCATACAGACCCCGTGCCGGATCCACGAGCTGTTAACCAAGATAAAAAGAATATTCTGTTCTCCGGAACGAACGTGGCCGCTGGCAAGGCTCGCGGCGTGGTCATCGGAACTGGATTGAATACCGCGATAGGTAAGATCCGTACGGAGATGTCGGAGACCGAGGAGATCAAGACTCCTCTGCAACAGAAGCTGGACGAGTTCGGTGAACAATTGTCGAAAGTGATATCCGTGATCTGCGTCGCCGTCTGGGCCATCAACATCGGACACTTCAACGATCCTGCTCACGGTGGCTCTTGGATCAAGGGAGCCATTTACTACTTCAAGATCGCCGTTGCTCTGGCCGTTGCCGCCATCCCGGAAGGTCTGCCGGCTGTGATCACCACTTGTCTGGCTCTGGGTACTCGTCGTATGGCTAAGAAGAACGCCATTGTTCGATCGTTGCCGTCCGTAGAGACTCTCGGTTGCACGTCTGTCATCTGCTCGGACAAGACTGGCACCTTGACCACCAATCAAATGTCTGTCAGCCGAATGTTCTGCTTCGACAAGATCGAGGGCAACGACAGCAGCTTCCACGAGTTCGAGATCACCGGTTCTACCTATGAACCAGTCGGCGAGATCTTCTTGAGAGGAAAGAAGGTCCGCGGACAGGATTACGAGACCCTGCACGAGCTCGGAACGATTTGCATTATGTGCAACGACTCCGCGATTGACTTCAATGAATTCAAGCAGGCGTTCGAGAAGGTCGGCGAAGCGACGGAGACCGCGTTGATCGTACTCGCGGAGAAGATCAATCCGTTCGGTGTGTCGAAGAGTGGACTGGACCGACGTAACGGAGCGATCGTAGTTAGGCAAGATATGGAGACCAAGTGGAAGAAGGAGTTCACGTTGGAGTTCTCCCGCGATCGCAAGTCCATGTCTTCTTACTGCACGCCTCTGAAGCCGACGAAACTTGGTACCGGACCGAAGCTGTTCGTCAAGGGAGCACCTGAAGGTGTCTTGGACAGGTGCACGCACGCTCGCGTTGGCTCCACCAAGGTTCCTCTTACTTCTACCTTGAAGAACCGCATTTTGGATCTGACTAGGCAATACGGTACCGGCCGGGACACTCTGCGCTGCTTGGCCCTCGCCACTGCTGACCACCCGATGAAACCCGACGAGATGGACCTCGGCGACTCCTCCAAGTTCTATACTTACGAAAAGGATCTTACTTTCATTGGTGTCGTTGGCATGCTTGACCCGCCCCGAAAGGAAGTGTACGACTCGATCGTGAGGTGTCGTGCCGCCGGTATCCGAGTAATCGTTATCACCGGGGACAACAAAGCTACCGCTGAGGCTATCTGCAGACGCATCGGTGTCTTCGGTGAGAACGAAGATACGACTGGGAAATCGTACTCGGGACGCGAGTTCGACGACCTCCCGCAGAGCGAACAGAAGGCTGCCTGCGCCAGAGCTCGTCTCTTCTCCCGCGTGGAACCTGCTCACAAATCGAAGATCGTTGAATACCTGCAAAGCATGAACGAGATCTCGGCCATGGTTAGTAATTAGGCTAATTATTTCACGCGACAGGCTTCTGTATTTTATAGTTTTTTTTTTTTTCATAGACCGGTGACGGGGTGAACGACGCGCCTGCCTTGAAGAAAGCCGAGATCGGGATTGCTATGGGATCTGGAACCGCCGTCGCGAAATCCGCGTCCGAGATGGTACTGGCCGACGACAATTTCTCTTCCATCGTCGCAGCCGTTGAGGAAGGACGCGCTATTTATAACAACATGAAACAGTTCATTCGTTACCTGATCTCTTCCAACATCGGCGAAGTCGTCAGGTTCGTACAAAGTACAGCAATTTATCAAATTATTATTATTATTATTATTATTATTATTATTATTATTATTATTATTATTATTATTATTATTATTATTATTATTATTATTATTATTATTATTATTATTATTATTATTATTATTATTATTATTATTATTATTATTATTATTATTATTATTATTATTATTATTATTATTATTATTATTATTATTATTATTATTATTATTATTATTATTATTATTATTATTATTATTATTATTATTATTATTATTATTATTATTATTATTATTATTATTATTATTATTATTCAATTGATTGAAATTAAATTTCGTGGTTGCAGTATATTCTTGACTGCCGCCCTTGGTCTTCCCGAAGCCTTGATCCCCGTGCAATTGTTGTGGGTGAACCTGGTCACTGACGGTCTTCCAGCTACTGCTCTCGGTTTCAATCCACCGGACTTGGACATCATGAACAAGGTAACGTCACCGATAATAATTATATAATAATAATCGGAATAATAATCGTTTTCCCGTGGATGTTCAATGTTACAGCCGCCCCGTAAAGCCGACGAATCTCTAATTTCCGGTTGGTTGTTCTTCCGCTATTTGGCTATTGGCGGATACGTAGGTGCTGCTACGGTCGGATCGGCTGCGTGGTGGTTCCTCTACAGTCCCCATGGACCTCAAATGAACTACTACCAATTGGTAATTATTCTCGTTAAATGAAACTCTTCTCATCGTCGTACTACAACCATCGTTATTGTTCAGACTCATCACTTGGCGTGCCTGGGCGGTGGCGAGGAGTTCAAGGGTGTCAACTGCAAGATCTTCACGGATCCTCATCCCATGACGATGGCCCTGTCTGTACTGGTAACCATCGAAATGTTGAATGCGATGAACAGGTAACTTTTCGCGTCACTTCTAACATTTATTGGTATAATTTTGCGTCTTTTAGTCAGTTTTTAGGCAAAAATAATGCAAAATGTGTGTTTACAGGACTACACTTTTCGTCTTTATATGAGAAGATTTCCACGCAAAAGATAAAAAATCGTAGTTACAATTCCTTTGTTTAAAAAAAGATTGTTTTGAATGAAATTAAGAACAGAGTATGTCAGATTTAACTTTTCTCTTATTAAAGAGGCATCTGACGATCTAAAAATGTTCTTATATAAGGACAGAAAGTGTAAACCGATATTTTTAACTACTTTTGTGTAACGTAGACATTACTAGTAGCTATCTGAGTCTAGTCGATTAATTTCTGTTTGATTTTTCTTTCAGTTTATCTGAGAATCAGTCACTGATCACTATGCCGCCGTGGTCCAACTTGTGGCTCATCGCCTCCATGGCTCTTTCTTTCACACTCCACTTCGTCATCCTCTACGTCGACGTCCTTTCGGTACGTAACATTGAGTTAAGACAGGGAAAGAGAGAAATCTCGACCTACAAACATGTGGTAATCGTATCGATCCGTTATCCGTCTGTTTCAGTCTGTATTCCAAGTCACCCCGTTAACGGCCGAGGAGTGGTTGACCGTTATGAAGTTCTCCATTCCAGTGGTACTTCTCGACGAAACCCTGAAGTTCATTGCCAGAAAGTTCACAGATGGTGAGAATCCAATTGACTCAGCGCTTTGGATCGTTCTAATGTGGGCTGTGTTCTTTGGACTATTATGTATCTCCCCCATATAGAACGTTCCGTGAAAACGTTCGACCTAACAGACAGTGTTTTTCCTATGGAAAACATAATCTTTCCCCCCACCCCCCTCTTGCAACTAAGTTCTCGGACTTGCAATTGCATTTAAAACGAAAAAAAAGAAAGAAAAGAAACAACCGATGCTCTTCCCCGTTGCCCCCGGGAAGCCTCGAAGATAAGTTATTGATTGAAGTGCGTTTAAGTGAGATTTTAACCAGTTTGACTGTTGTGCATGGTGTTAGAGTACAATCAAATACAGATTTTCGCCAGCAAGGCCCACCATGCCCGCATCACACCGTAACCCCCCGAAGTCGCCACCCCCGCAAAAAACCAAAAACAAAAAAAAAAAGAAAACGAAAAACAAAAAAACAGAATCATAAATCACGGGTCTCAGTGGCTTCGAGCAATGGACGTACGAGGAGAGATCCCCGCGCAATCAAAACAATTGTGATTGTTAAATTATTTTCTACGAGTGCCTTTTAAACATTAACTTTCCCTCCGCAACAAAAAAGAAAGGAACAAAACCACCCGTCATCGATGTTTTATCTAACCCCGATACAGCAGCCAATCCGTTATCCCGTAGAATCCCCTTTTCGGACACAAATTGCACGATGACGCACTTCGAGAAGGTCAACTTCTCCTTTATAATTTATAACATAGTTCTCCCCTCTAACTTTCTCACAGTTCCACGGAAACGGGATCCTAAAACGCAAAGTTGCATGATTCTTATTACACGGCAAATACCAGTGTTGGGCACTTGACACTTTCTAACGCACAGCAACGAATACACGATTTTATTTCTCTTCTTTTACCCCCTCCCCCGTTTTAATTTATTTGCTGAATCTGTTTTCTTTTTATTTCTCCTCTCACTACCCGCTTTTGTCGTTGCCTTTTAAAAACTACTGGTTACCGTATCCCTAGCATCTGGAGAGTCCGATTCGATGACGACGTCGAAACAGGAACTGCCTGGTCCCTTGCTGAAATCTACGTAGAGATTGTGCATGAAGTTCACGAAAAAACTGAATGGATCTCACTTTGGACCCCAAAGTCTCTAACACGAATGTCTTCCTACCCCCGTAGACAAATAATTTGCATGCACAACTATGTCACCTGTGATTACATTCTAACAAGAGAAGAAAAAAGAAGAAAAGAAACTTAACGTTCACCTCCTGAACCGATCACAGTCCCTAGTTAGCTCCTGCTGTGCTTCACCTAGACCCATTCCTCGACATTCCCACGTGTCTATAACTTGATTAGTTTTTTCGGACCGGTTTACTCTGATTCCAAGCTACGACTTCGGCCACGAACAGGTAAAAAGTTTCATTTGTAATTATCTAATTGTTACACTACGACAGCACGGCAGGATCCTAACGTCCCTAGCACTCTCATCTCGCATCGACCCCTACGTGTACCTTGGATGTGATCCCTCGTACGCGAACCGTGAAACCTTATGCGTGTGCAAGGCTCGATGCAGATTTTAGACACGACGGTTCGCGTCCCGGGTTAAATAATTAATTTCTACGGTCTGAACAGAATGATCCTCGAGCCTAAGATTCCACCTGCGTTCCTAACGACCAGTTTCAAGAATTTTAAATAGGATTTAAACCCGAGGTAACTTATTCTGTAGATACTATCAACTATTCTACTTCTACATTATCGTTGTTCACAGGACAGTTCTTAAACGTCGAGGATCTTCGTGTTCAGACCTGATTCATCTCTGTATACAATTATACACGCGCTACGATAAAAGAAAAGAAAGAAATTTAAAGATCGTCGCGAGTAGACGTCTCTTTTGGTAATTTCCTTCATTAGGGGATTTTATAAATCGGAGTAACTAAATAGAATGTCCACCGTTCAGTGGGCAGCAGTTCGTCTTCTTTTTTTTTTCTCTTTTTTCTTTTATTCGCAGGAGTGCGAAGAAAACGGCCGAGCCGCTTCTCGACTACGTGCAAACGCAACAAGACTGACGATGTGGCATCGAAAAGCGGCTCGTGTACTTTTTTTTTTTTTGTTCAGAGAGACATGATCTCTCTCGGAGTTTTCTTTAGTCCATTTTTTTTGTTCTTATGTCCACCGTTGTTCGTTCGACGCGACGAGTGCATAATTGATCTAATTTAATTCTGCGTGAAGCAGCGTCGGCCGCAGTGTTACGACTAAATAGAGAGTGTAATATATATAA